ACAAAAAATTCCCCTCCTTTGTTACCACATGGCTCCATTCAGTGCTTGTTGGAAACAGTCAAGGAAGGAGCCTCACATCTTCTATTAGCAGTTTTTGAAGTATTTCCAAGAAAATGCAATATGATTTTCCTACCTAATGACCTTGAATGACCATATGTTTTAGTTTATTTGTTAGGTTTTAAAGTAAGACATCTGACTGGAGTTAATTGCTTCTTTAGAAACATGGATCCCTGATGTCTTTTGCTTTCATAAAAAATCCTTTTGTTACAGTGAAATTCTGAGAACCTTGGAATTTTCAGGTGAACCTTGGGTTCCAGTTTGACTGGACATTTATGGAGATGTATTTACTCTGAAACAATGGAAACATATTTATTGATTTAAAGTACCTTTTAAAAGGTAACGGACATGAATTTTGCCTGGTACACACACAAAGAGTGAAAAATAAGAGTATCCTTGCTTTTATTATGTATTTCTTTGTGGTAGTGGTGAAAACTGTTTTAGAGTTATTTTCAATTGTTTCTTTGTATGTCCCCTAATGCGTGTGTTTTCCCCCCTTCTAGGCATGGTTGAGCAATGACAACACAAACCGACAGGCTCACTATTTTATTTTTCATGAGATCTGAAAAGGACAGAATAAATCAGATTAAATCAAAGAGGCCTCCTTTCCCATTTGCAAGATGGAAACATTTACAGAACTCTTAATGTATCTGTGAACACTGACAGAAAACCTGATTATGAGTAACAGCATAGAGGTTAATAAGGGAGGAAAAAAAAAAGAAAGAGGTAACAATGCAGAAATAAGAATGCAGAAAGAGTATTTGGTACAAATTTAATGTTTCAGTACAAATCACCGGGACTATAATGACAGTTGTCAAACCTTCTAAATTATGAACCAGAGTATTTAAGGTAAATTTTCTAATTATTTCCACCAGTGCAAAAGAAATACTGAAGTGATTTTGTGCAGAAATGGAAGGTGGAGAGACTGATTTTAAATTATGCAAAAACTAATCATCTGAGTTAAAGTAACAAAGCTGATTTTTTTAGTTTTTGGTGGAACCCCAGAAAGAATTATTTGAGATTTAAATACAAACTTTTCTTATCTATCTTATCTGAAGTTAACAAATACCAGTGTTTTTTTATTTATTTTTTATTTTTTTTATATTTTTAAATAAAATAAAATAAAGGAAACCATATTTCACCATATTTGAGACTGTCTTCAATAAAAAATACTTTAAAAAAATTGTCAGCTTGGTTCAGAAGAGCTGTCAAAAAGTGAGCAACACTTTTCAAGTGGTTACTGGGTTTGCAATTTCAGTAGCTGTTGAGGGTTCTGATTAAGATCCAAACTTGGTGATGCAAAATCAACTTTGCCATAAATTCAAATACATCAGGGTCCAAGAGGGTTGTGGTGCTAAATCCAAATATCAGAATGAAGACTCAACTTTAAGTCTGAATAAAGCTTCTAAGGTCTGGTTGACATCTCACAGTACTGTCAATAGGGAGCGACTTCATAAAATGCACTAATATAAAAGGTAAACTGAATGTGCTAATGTAAAATCAGTGTAATGTCAAGAAAATTGGGTGGTTTTCTACATGAAGGTTTAAATAATTCATTTTCTTTTTCCATTTTTGACATCTCAGTCCAGCTCAGGCAAAAATGTAGGCTGAGAAGACAGCTACACTAGGTAGGCAGCCAATTAAAACAAACTTTCATAAAAGAGCAGGATGATTTTTCAGGACAGGCAATGTTATTTTATGAACACCAATATAACTTCCTAAATGTCTCACAGATGCAGTCTGAAAGAAATTGCATCCCCCTCCTAGTAAAAATATCTTAGCCACCTCAAAGAAGAGACCATCTGGAGGCTTACTCACTTTGGGAGATGCTGAGTTAATTGAGTGAAAGTCCAAACAACTCTTCAGGAAAGACATACTGAAGACTAGCACTAGACTCTGAAGTGATTTAAAATAATGCATCTCCAAATGAATTTGTTTCAGTATTGCTATTACTTAATTACCACATTATCACCATACTGGGAATCCTAGCCATATATCAGAGCTCATTTTGTAAGGAATTTGTTTAATACTGTTATGTGGATAAAAGTTAGTCAAATACAGTAATATTTCAATAATAAAATCGACACCATTAGGTAAAATTATTTCCTAGTAGATAGATTTCCCCTGACAACTCTGTTTTCATACTTGAGCAGATAAGGTAGTTAAGAAAATAATATTCATAAAGTCTCTGAAATTATGTCTGAATTAAGACATATGACTCCCATTAAAATCAACAAAAAGTTTCCAGCCCAGTGTCCACATGCTGCTTTGAAAATCAAAGAGCAGTGGCTGAAGCATCAGAGTATTAGAAAGTTTAATCTACACAATTTTCATTAGATTTGATATGTCATCAACAAAATGTTCCTAAGAGGGGCCAGGAGATGAAATGTATATCAGGTCAACTATTGGTCAATCATAGAATCATGGAATGGCTTGGGTTGGAAAAGACCTTAAAGATCATCTAGTTTCAACTCCCCTGCCATCAGCAGGGATACCACCCACTAGATCAGCTAGCTCAGTGCTAACCTGCGTCTTGAGTCTAACCTGGTCTTGAACACCTCCAGGGATGGGACATCCACAGCCTCTCTGGGCAACCTGTTCCAGTGCCTCACCACCCTCTGACTGAAGAATTTCATCCTAACCTCTAGTCAAAATCTCCCTTCTTTTAGTTTAAAGCCATTCCCACTTGTCCTGTTATTATCTGATTGAGCAAAGAGTGGCTCTCCATCTTTTTTGTAGGTCCCCATTAAGTACTGAAAGGCCACAATGAGGTCACCCTGCAGCCTTCTCTTCTGTATGCTGAACATCCCCAGCTCTCTCAGCCTTTCTTTGTAGGAGAGGTGCTACAACACAGTGGCCAATACTTTTTAGTTTCTTCCCACTTTTTAGTCTCTTATCAGGATGATGGGGCAGAGTGCAACCTCAATAAATTTGCAAACGGTATAAAATTGAGAGGAGAGGTTGATGGACTAAGTATGTGGTCTGCTATCTAGAGAGACCTCATCAGGCTGAACAATGGGTCAAGAGGATCCTAATGAGGTTCAAGTTAAGGGAAATGTCAGCTCCTGTACCTGGGAGGGAATAATACAGTCTGGGGGCTGACTAACATGAAAGCAGCTTGGCAGAGAAAGACTTTGTAGTCTTCTTGGACACCAAATTGATCATGAGCCATCAATGTGTCCTTGGGGCAAAGCAGGCCACAGCACTCCTAGGCTGCATTAGGCAAGGCTGAAAAATAAACAAGATTTTCAAGTGGAGAGGTAGTGGCAAAATGAATATTCTCCCTCTCTTCTCCAAAGAGGTGACTCCATCTGCCTGAAAAAGAGTCCAGATTGTGACTGAACAGTGCAGCATGTGCATCCAGCAAAGATACTTGGGAATAATACAGTATTAGCAGCTGCCTGGTTCTAACCTCTCCTGGCTGCTTTCCTTTGGGTTTGCTAATTGTGTTTGGGAATTGTTTTTTGTTTTCAGACCTGTCTGCATATTCAGAACTACCACTTGTCTGAAATGTTTGGAGAGCTTTTGGACTTTAAAGTGACAATATGGTGTCGAGGGGATGTTGAGATCTTTCAGTTGAGACTTTTCTAGTGTCATTTAGACAATAAGCATACAGTCTGGATATTGTCCTGTCTATTTTACAAATCACTCCTCAGGCTGCTGTAATCTCCTGCCTGGAACCTCACCAGCCCTGAGCATTGTACATCCCTTGTGTTTGCAGTCTCTACCATAGGACTTAGATCTTCAGATTAACTCTTTTTGAAGCCATGAGTTCTGCACTATTTCTTTCTGCTTGGCTCCTTATTTTACCACCTTGGCTTGTTATGGGGTATGGAAGAAGTAAGTTCTGCCATGCCACTTACATATTGCTCTTTTCTAATCTGAGATCCCTCTTTGCTCTTTTTTCTTTTCTTAACATAGCAATTCCTCTTTCGTTGGTTTTACCTTGAATAAGTTGAATTGATCTTGTCCTAGTGACTGAAGATTTTTACATCTCAAACCTTAGCCTCATCTCTTGAGCATGCCCTGCCTTCCCCAGTGCTGTAGTGGAATTACTTGTCTACATTCATTTACTCTTTGACTCTAGTGGAGCTGGGATTGTTGAGAATTGGGTAGATTATGCTCTTTCCAATTCATGTGAAGTTCATATCAAAACAAATAGGAGTTAAGAACATAAGTATATTTAAGAATTTATGTCTTATTGCTTCTGGGTGATATCTAGAAACTGGCTTAGGAAAACAGTTTCAAAATTATATTGCTTCCAAACTGTAATTCAGAAAATTCTGTTTCATCATATATATTTTAATAGCCTAACTGTTAGCATAAGAATAGAAATTAAGAGAACAAAGTACAATTGTCTTTGCTGCCTGGGAATGTTGAAACCAATGACAGCTATTATCTCTTAAAGGCTACTGTGCATGCTTTGGTGCTCTTTCTCACATTAAGGATGGCTGTTCCATAGAAAATCAAGAATATTTTCTCCAGCGAGTGAAGACTGACTATAAAATGGATAGAACAGTTAGAGCTTTCAGTTGGAGGAGGAGGGTGGCCCTACTTGCTGAAAGCCCTCTGTAACTTCATTGTTTTCTACAGCAGTCTGAATGTGAAGCAAATTCTGTTCTATTTTCTTTTTTCTTAGTTTTAGCAATCTTCCAGGCTTTCTAGAATCGAAAGTGTTGCTTCTTAACTCATTTGGCTCATTCAAAATGGGAAAATGCACAATTGGTACACTTATGGTACCTTTCTCTTGTCCCTTTCCTATTCTTCAGATAACCTATTTGTTTTTTTTTTTTTTTTTTTTTTTTTTTACCACTTGAATGTTTTTAAGCAAGAACTGTGATGTCCTCTGTGTCCTGTATACTGTGTAGTACATATTTAGTAGAGTGAGAAAGAAGCAGAATTAACAACACAATTCATTCAAAGGAAATCAAGACACAATCTACCTGGGGTTCACAAGTGCAACCTCCTTTCCCCCCAGCTCAGCTGTCTGCATGAGATGGAAAGTGCTTCTGTGTTCATGCATTCTGCTGAATGGCTGCAGTCCTAGTCTGTGGCCAAGACAAAAAAAAAAAAAGACCATTTGGAATGCAATAAATTTTGCTTCTAAAGAAAACTTGGACACAAAAGTAGAAGATTAAATAGATAGGTCTTATATTGACTTGAGACCAGAAGAAAGGAAGTTTCTCTCAACCACTTAAATTCAAAATTTTATTTTAGTGATAAGTCAGTGAAGTCAGTGAAGAGCTGTGACACCTATCAAGATAAACATTCATAAAGTTCAAGGACTTTGAATGGTTTCATGTTAAGGAACTTGTATTTTGCTTCTTTGGACTCACGTAGACTGTGTAAATACAATAAAAGTGGCCAATAATTTATAGAATTGTGAAATGAAAGGAAATGAAAGGAAGCCATAACAAAAACCCAACCTAACCTAAACCAAACCAACCCAAACAAACAAACAAACAAAAACAAACAATTAAAGCTAAGAGGAAGAGAAAGAAGACTTAGAAATAGTAAGAGATGGTGACTTAGAAGGGGCAGGCTGGAAGAATGAGAGTTGTGAGGGTGAAAAGACAGAGAAGAAAAATAACATATAGTAGAACAGGCAGGGGTGGAAGAAGGAGGAAATAAGAAGGACAGTTTTTCAGAGAAGGAGAAAGTAAAGGCCAGAAAAAGTAGTAGGTGGAAAAGAACAGAGAGTGATAATCGGGGTCAAGGAGGAGTAGAGGAGGGAGAAAGTAGAGGAGGAAGGTGACCAAAAGGAAAGAAGAATTGTGTGTTGTAACAGGAACAAGAGACTGAGAGATCTTGAAACAACAGAACTAAAGGGAAAAAAAAATAAAATAAAATGAATGAATCATAGGAAAAGTAAGAATACAAAATGAGAAAATAATAGTAGAATAATGAAGGAAAGAATATAGGTATCATGAAAAAGGTTCTCTACCTAAACTAATGGAATTTTAGATGTTAAAATTAAGGTAGGTAAACCTCACTATTTAAATACATTTGTTTATTTGTTTATTTATTTATTTATTTATTTATTTTGGTGGGGGGAGGGAGTTTTGAGGTTATAGAAGAAACACAAGTATTTGTAGGAAATATAAAATATCATGACTTTCACAAGTGTTGAGCTATGTTACATATTGCTTTATAAAAATGCTAAAGTGGAAGAAATTGCATTGAGCTATTGTGTAGAAATTAGGGAAAGAAAACACAAAAGTAGTATTTTATGACAAAGACAGGAAAGAACATTTTATGTGTGCTATGACTCCCATATCTGTGAAAGCTATTGTGACTGGTGTCCAGCCCTCACTTTATACACTACTCACTGTAAAGGATGATGTCACAGAAAGATTAGTTCTAATCCTGGATGAGAAAACCTGGTGATGACTCAACAAGGAGTAGAAAAGAAGGAGCTAAATCAGCTTAAAGTCAGGCTTTATATGTTTGGATGGAATCAGCATTTTCTGTATGTGGTTATGCTCTGCACAGAACAACTCACACAGCTCCTGATGAATCTCAGTTTATGACTTTCCTATTCCTGACTCATGTTTTATCACGCTGCTGGCCCAATTGTTGGCTGCCACTAACACAAAGTAGGAGACCATGCTACATGATCAATATAAGGAAAAATTAAATTAACAGCAGAGCTCTCATAGTGGACTGATCAAAGAGCTAACCTAGGGCAGGCCTTCAGTTGTCATGTAGTAAGAAATGTGGCTGCTGGATAAAGCAGCTTGAATTCCCAAGTTCCCTGGGTAGCCTTTAAATCTTCCATCTAGCAGAGACACATGCATAGTATTAAGTCACCAAATTTGGTTACCATTGTCATGGATTCCCTTGCTGGTTCAGCCTGGTTGTTTCATGCTCAATGCTCTGCTCAGTTGAGCTGAATGACAGCAAGAGAATAAGTCTTACTGGAAAGGATGGGTTTGCTATTTGTGTAGAAGCTATCTATGAGCCATGGAGCGTCTTTGAAACAAGTCTTTCAGCTAGGCCTCACTTACATGGGAACAAGATGGGCAGTAAGGTGCTCAGGGTAACATTGGGTCAGTGGTGTCTGAATCAGAAGCAAAAGGTGAGTGATTTGAGCGTTAAGTGGTCAATTCAAAGCACGTCTATCTATAATGTAGATAGACACTAGTACTGAAAAAATCTTTCTTGTACTGAAATGAAAGCAAACCATTTGCAGAGATTTATAGACCATTCAATTTAACATTTATTGGAAAAGCACCAGAAGCCTGCTCAGGGAGGAAGCAAATGGAAAAATTACTTTGCAGCTTTGCAGCTCATCATGGCTCTGACAGATATTTCCTCATTTATTTATTTTCAGAAGTATTACAGAAATGAGTGATAATCATTGTAGAAATTAGTTTCTGTTTCAAGGAGTTACCATTTAAAATCATTCTTTCGGACTGAAACCGAATAAGAAACTGGGACAGTTTCTCAGTGTAAAGTTTCTTTATTCACACTGTTGTTTTAGTCTCAGAAACAATTGCTACCTGCAAGTTGTTGTTTAGGCAAAATGGATTTTTAAAAGACTTGCAGGTTTATTTCCAAAGCTTGCTAAATAGTGGAGGCTACTATGAAACCTCTGTTTTGAAACTCCCAATTTAAAACTTTTAAAAGGAGGGCCAAATCTGCCTCATATGTAAGTCCCTAACATGGATGGAACAGTTGGAATGAATTTCATCCATAATTTTCAGTGTTAGTTACTCAGCTTTTAAATGACTATTGCAAGGCTTGAAGGTGTAAGAAAAGAGTAAAGGAAGGATACTCTGGAAAAAGATGTGAATGAGAAAAATAACATTTTTCCCACTTATGAAGTGCATATATATAATATAATATTTCACATTTGAAATATTGTATAAACTGGAAAAAAGTTATATACAGAAATCAATGACAGTGGTTATATGACAGTTCTTTGTCATCCTTTACATAACAACTTTGACATCTCAGTCACTTCCCAGCAGACAGTTGTCAATCCAACTGGGAAAACCACATCCCAACTAGAACAGTTTTGCATAGAGCAGCTACAGGTTTCAGCCTGAGGACAACAGGGAATCCCAGAACCCTGGGATGGAGAAGAAATCAAGATCTCCTCACACGACCCCTTGACAAAAGATAACAGGCAAAGTCAGTCTGGTGACTGGTGATCCTTTTTTCATTACAAAAAATTGTTCTGGCAGAGGCCTTCTCTTCCCTCTCTCTTCCCACTTCCCTCTTCTCTATTCAATTGTAAAGTTTTTTTGTTTTCTCATTATGAGTTTCTGGCTTTTGGGAGGAGATATTATGAATATTCATCAAGAACTTGCAAATTTCTATGACAGAATCTCATAATCCTTCCTATAAAGCTTTCTTAGATTATTGAACCACTGTCACTTGTCAAAGTGTGGAGGACAAAAGAAGAAAAACACTTAGAAACAATAGGTTTCTATGAATGGTCTGAAAGTGATTTTAGAGCACTGACACTGAAAAAAGAATCAAAACAAAAGCAGATCAAAAAAAAAAAAAAAAAAAAAAAAAAAGCAGTTGATCTAATATAGACCTGAGGAATTTATGGAAAAACTTAGGTGTATTTAAGTGTAATGATGATTCCCAAACCAACTACTCAGCTGCAGTTAAGACAATATAAAGACCTAAGTTCACCAGGGGACTTTTTCTTTTTCTTTTTCTATTAGGAGAATCAGTTCTGTGCAGCCCATCTCACAATGTCCTAGTATGAGAAGCTCAGCAGCTGGTTCAACACCTGATCAAATTTCAGAAATATGATTCTTTCCTTTAACTCTCCCTTTAACTTGTAAAGCATCCTCAGAGTATTCCTAACAAACACAGAACAATGCACTGCTTGCAAAATGCAGTTAGGCATATTTTTTAAAGGAACCAGAAGGGAACTTGTACATCTCTTCATAATATGGTAAGTGTAGCATTTCTAATACAAAAACTGAAATTTGGTTGCTAGACCATCCTCAGGTAGACTGAGAAAGATCAAAGTCGCATCTTCCACCTTTCATTCAAGCATTTTAACTACTCAGATTCAGGTTATTCTGTATATTTTTTTTCCATCTTCTGTTGAAACTGGAATATGTTACAGAAAAAAAAAAAAGAAAAAAAGACTAATGAAATCAAAAAGAGGGAACAATATGAAGTTCTATTCTGAAACTTAGGGGTTATAAAATAAACATCACAGGGAAGGAAAAAGAGTTCTTGGTCCTGTTTGCCAGTTCCAAAAGCCCCATCCAACTTGCCTGTGAACACTTCCAGGGAAGCATCCACAGCTTCTTTGGGCAACCTGTTCCAGTGCCTCACCACTTCAGATTTTTTTTCTGAATATCTAATCTATATCTACCCTTCTTTAATTTAAAACCATTCCTCCTTGTCTTATCACTACACTCCCTGGTAAAGTGTCCCTACCCTGCTTTCCTGTAGGTCTCCTTTAGGTACTGGAAAGCCATTATAAGATTTTCCTGGAACCTTCTCTTCTCCAGGATAAACAACCCTAACTCCCTCAGCCTGTCTTCATAGGTGAGGTTCTCCAGCCCTCTGATCATCTTTGTGACCCTCTTTTGGACTCATTCTAATATGTCCATGTCTTTCTTGTGCTGGGTGTCCCAGAGCCGAACACAGTACTGCAGGTGGGGTCTCATGAGAGCAGAGTGAAAGGGGTGAATCACCTCCCTTGACCTGCTCATCATGCTTTTTTTTTTTTTTTTTTTTTTTGTTTTGATGTAGCCCAGGATATGGTTGGCTTTCTGGGCTGAAAATGCACATTGCCAGTTCACATTCATTTTTTCATCCACCAACACCCCTGGGTCCTTCTCATCAGGGATGTTCTCAATCCACTCATCTCCCCACCTCTACTCATGCTTGGGATTTCCCTGATCTAGGAGCAGGACTTGGCACTAGTTCCTGTTAAACCTCATGAGGTTCACATAGGCCTACCTCTCAAGCCTGTCCAGGTCCCTTTGGATGGCATCCCTTCCCCCCAGCATATCAACTGCACCACACAGCTTAGTGTCATCAGCAAACTTGCTGAGGGTGCACTTGA